GGCAAGATCCTGACCCTGAGAAAATTATAAAAAATAAAAAATACAATAATTGAACGTTAGTTTCTTGAGCTTATAGTTCAATCGACTGTAGTAAGAATATTAAATGAATCCTACATATATTAAACAAATATTTTTCAAGCAAAATCATGATTTTTTAATGAGAGGCATTTCTTGTCAGTGTCTGAGTTCAATGAACATATTTGATTTATGGATGACTAATGAATATATATAAAAGTAAATTGTAAATTAATTAATATGGTAATTTACATCAACCAGAATAGATTTCTTTTATTTTATATCAGATAACACATCTGACTCACTGAATATCCGGTTGTTAACCCTATTCCTGTTGGGGGGGGGGGTCAATTTGACCCCCCCCCTGTAGTTTTTTTTACATAACTCAAAAAGTATTGGTCTGAGGCTGTTGAAATTTTCTGACTTTTCCTACATACCCAAAGCCCTCTCTTTAGGCCTAAAACCGGGCTTTAATACTAACTGTCTGAGTCCTCAGGAACACTGCCTGAATGACTGTTTTTTCCTGTAACAAACTAAGTCTTTGTTTTGACCCACTTCCACTTGTCAGATTTTGATAAAATTTAGCTTTTTGGAAAGTCTTTGACATAAGGAAACGAATTGCACAAGTTTTGCGAAAAAAAAATTGCAAATTTTTTGTAAACAACCTGTCAAAGGAAATTTGCACATTTTTAGTTTTTCCTGATTAAAAATCGTGTTATTTAAAATTTTGCAAATTTTTTTGCATATTTGAAATGGCATGGTCAAGGGATTTTCAAAAATGTATAATTTTTCATTTATTGGACAAATTTTTTTTTGCAAACATTTTTACTATATAACTGGATTTTGCGATAAGAAAATCAATTTTTGCAAATTTGCAAATTTTTTTTGCAGATTCTAAAAGCAGAGCACAATAGCTTTCCAATGATGTATCATTTGTCATATTTGGACATCAAACATGGGATTTAGAGGGGGGGGGTCAAATTGACCCCCCCCCACCCAGCATATCCTGGTTTTCAAGTACCCCAGCAGAGATAGGATTAAGTTTAGTTTTTTTATTGTTAGAGTATAACACACATTTTTCTTTCCCCCTCCCTTGAAATGTTTACAGGGGGGGGGGGGGCAACATTTTTTCTTCTCACTTCGCGCGAAATATTTTCCTCTTGCACGCCCTTAACACAATGTCTAGTTGCGCTCCTGCAAACGATAATCCTTAATACTAATTTAAATTTAGTAGGGTGGCTAGTATGTGTGGGATAGGGTGGCTAGTGTGTGACACCAGTTCTCGTTAGATCACTGAAGTTAAGCACACTTGTCAACAGCCAGTAACTGGATTGGTGTCCAGACTGGTGTTCATGGGTTCGATTCCCGTATTCCACACAAACCTTTGGCTTCAAAAACATTTGAAGCCGACATCTGGTTAAGCAGTTATGATCACCTGACGGATGTAGTAGGACAGAGGGGCGGCAGCGAAAGGGTGGGTGCTTTCTACTCAACAAGAAAGAAGCTCTTAGTGGATTGATCCAAGCCAATGATGATGGATGAATGTGCTGCCAGATTTCAACCCTGGTAGATCAATAAAAACCCAGACAACACCAAATCTTCGCAATAGAAAAAATTCCGAGATTTTATCGTAACAAACCGATCATATCCTCGGGACAAAAAAAAATATCTTTTAAAAATTTAAATTTTTTCTGTACTAAAAACAGAACGAAATGGGTTTATTATCTAATGCTTGAAAAAATTGAAAAAAGCCAAACGCGCCCATCACTAAGTGATTGCAAGTATATTTATTAGTATCTTTTAAATGTAACAATTAACATAAAACATCGTTTAATGAGCTAAAAACACATTTATCATTTAGCCAGAAAAAATAGATAAAATATAACATTTATTTGGTTAAAAATCAATTTATGTTTAAAACTGCTTTATCATTTTACAAGTTTGTAAGATTTATGAAGTAAAAACTTTATAAAATGATGATTCAAGACCAGATAAAACTTTGAACTTAATCTTCTTATTAAGATGTCTCTAAACCATATCTCTTACAAAGATATAACGAATTTGTTGGAGTTAGCAAAGCTGAAAATATCCTTTTAAAGGGAGTGTTCGCGAAAAATGAAGAGGCGGGCATAGGCTTAATGCGATAAAAAAGCGCTTTTGATCGCTACTAATTTTACTTTAATCTGTTGCGTCTGTAAGGAGAAAATTGTTAAAAACGACTAATACCGAAGAACGGAGTGTCCATACAAATTCAGAAAGATGCAACATTCAATTAGGATCGTAAACAAATCATTTTAATTCCAAACAAATCAGACCCCCTTTCATTATTCCTATTCAGTTCCTTGAAACATAGTCTCTTATTGTACTGTAAAGCTTTCTCTAACCTAAACGTCGGCCCGGTGATTAAAATGAACCGGAGTTTACAGTGATCAGGTTGCAAACATAAAGGGATAAAGATAAACATAAACTTGAAACTTGTGTTGCAATATTTGTACTTTGCATTGGATTAAGATAGAATTGAGATCTTTTTCCGAGATCAAGGAACAAATAAAAATGAAAAAGAAATAGAAATGTTTAAATGAAAATCCTTTAACACCTTGGTAAGATGCAGATGGGATTTAAAGTTATATCTTGGAGTTAGAGGATATTCAATCATGAACTAGGATTGACCATTCCAACTTTCTTCAATTCTTCCATACACTAACTTTGATTTTAAAATACAGCTTTACAAATTACAACCAACCTAGATGGACACTTTCAATTTTTTTCATTTTGTTCGTTAATAATTAATGAATGAAAAAATTTGTTCTTTTAGCAAAAAACAATAGTTTTTTTCAAATATCTTTTGAAAATTTCGTTTGTTCAGTAAAAAAACTATCGTTTTTTAGAATTACTTTTTTTCATTCTTTAAAAAAAAAGATAATTCTTTTAATTTCTGTTAATGATCCATCCGTTTGACGTCGTTTTTTTTCTGAACACCACCCCTGTTTTACTAAAAAATTGGTTCTTTTCAAATATTTCGTTCGTTTAAGAAAAAATGGCCATCTCTAATCACCATGCAGTATGTATGAAAGACTTCTACATTTTCAACATTAAAAGGGCTACAGACGTAATTTCAAGTGAGGATGCATTTAAAGAGTGTTTTTTCTAATTCACTATGGTACCCTTTAACCCTATCTCTGCTGGGGTACTTGAAAACCAGGATATGCTGGGGGGGGGTCAATTTGACCCCCCCTCTAATTCCCATGTTTGATGTCCAACTATAACAAATGATACATCATTGGAAAGCTCTTGTGCTCTACTTTAAGAATCTGCAAAAAAATTGGCAAATTTTCAAAAATTGAATGTTTATCGCAAAATCCAGTAAAAATGTTTGCAAAAAAAATTGTCCAAAAAATGAAAAATTATACATTTTTGAAAAGCCCTTGACCATGCCATTTCAAATATGCAAAAATGTTTGCAAAATTTTAAATAACCTGATTTTTAATCAAGAAAAACTAAAAATGTGCAAATTTCCTTTAACAGGTTGTTTGGAAAAATTTGCAATTTTTTTCGCAAAACTTGTGCAATTCGTTTCCTTATGTCAAAGGCTTTCCAAAAAGCTAAATTTATCAAAATCTGACAAGTGGAAGTGGGTCAAAACAAAGATTTAGTTTGTTACAGGAAAAAGCACTCATTCAGACAGTGTGCCTGAGGACTCAGGCAGTTAGTATTAAAGCCCGGTTTTAGGCCTAAAGGGAGGGCTTTGGGTATGTAGGAAAAGTCAGAAAATTTCAACAGCCTCAGACCAATACTTTTTGAGTTCTGTAAAAAAAACTACAAGGGGGTCAAATTGACCCCCCCCCCAGCAGGAATAGGGTTAAACGTGTGCCTACTCAACAGCGCCGTAGTCAGGCAAAACTTCAGTGAGCTTTAGAATCAGACGTATGCAATTCTATGAAATGAGGCAAAAATATTTCCCGTTCTAGAAATTTCAAAATTCACAGGGTTGCGTTGGCAAACGGAAATGCATTTTTATAAATGACGACACAAAGGAATTTAACGATGACATCTTTCCCAGCAATTACCTTCGATATTTAAATCTATGAATTCTGTTTGATCAAATAATCTAAGTTGGAGCTATTAAGGTTTACACCAGCAAGTTCTTGAGATATATAAGTTGAGTTTGTGCCAAAGACTCAATTCCTTTTCTTTACTAGGATTCCAAGAATTCAAAATAATAATGGTTTCATTGTGAATCATACACAAAAAGCTACCCACAAAGGATGAGACGAATGTACAGAATTTGTTTAGCAACTGTTTTACCTTCAGGGTTTCTTGCAGGCCTCAACTGCCTTTTTTCTTTGCTTGATCATTAATATACATGCATTAAAATACTAAATTAAAGGCTGACACCAAAAATCAAGATTTAAATTGTCATATTTTATGCGTTTTGGATCGTTCCTTTGTATGTAGTGATCCTGCAAATTTTTCATCGTAAATGAGATTTTTTTTCAGGTTGAAACCCCTTAGTTTTACTTGCTTTCTGCCTTTTGTTTTCTGGTTTTAGGCCGATTTCATTTTTCAGTTTAAAAACTAAATCTAACATAAATCTAAAGACAAGCGCGCTTGGCTTTTTTTAACTCGTTTCTTCATCGTTCGTTAATGTTCGTTCATCGTTTGTTCAGTAGAATTGTTCGTTTAGTAAGATTGTTCGTTAAATAAATTCGTTCTTTCATTAAACAAATTCAGTAAAGAAGCTATAAGTTTTTTTTTAAATTTTGTTCCAAAAAATTGTTCGTTCATGGTAAAAAACGAAAGTTGTTTTAACATCTGTTGGAAAAATTGTTTGTTCAGAAAAAAACAATCGTGTTTTAAAATTCCAGACATAAAATCCAATCTGTATTTTGCTCTTTTCTTCTTTAATCTTCTTTAATTATAAAGTAATTTATTTTAATGTATGAAACAGAGAAACATAATCTAATTTATCTTAATTAAAGGCATAATCTAAGAATAATTTAATATAATCTCTCTGGGATTTGTTTTCAGCCTTATGTTGGTTGGTTGTGTGGACCCAGCATATTGTTTTATTGTCACAAACTAAAACTTTTAAAACTTAAAATGAGAATTTAGAAAAGTCTTAGAATCTAACGGTTTAAAATATGTTTTATCCAAGGATTTAATGCAAGGAAAGTTATTTCAGAAGCGTACACAAAAAAAATCAATGAAATATTCTGGTCATAAGAAACTATTATATGAATTATCAAAATTGTTTCGCGACCAGCGAATACATGTGCCTAGTGATATTCTGCGATGGTTTGTCGGAATATTTCTCTTTATCCTTTGTACTCATTTTGACCGTCAAATAAAGAACTCAGGATTTATTCAGATCAGCATGTTCAACTATAAAATAACATAAATAGAGTTCTTATATTTTTACTACAGAAAAAGCCCATAAAAAAATGACGAAAACTAGAAAATACAAATAAATCAGAAAATACGACAATAATCTTGAGAAACAAGTTACTTGGGCGTAAAAAACTGTAGGTTTTGATTTATTCTAAATAGTACAATAATATTAAGTAACTCTAGCGTAAATCTTACCATATTGAGCCTTCACACAATATCACAAGAACAAAGAGACAAAAACATTGGCGAACATCGCCATCAAAAGTCACATCTCAATTGATCAGAATGTACGTTAGAGTATAAACAATACATATAAAACCTAGTTTTGAGCAGCTTTATTTTTATTCTTGGAAACTCCCCTCTTCATGCAGTACGAAGTCCAGGGGCGCTGCAGATATCTTGTAGGAATATTAGCACAGGGGCGACCTTTCCCTCATATCCCATATACGTGACTGGGTCGCGTAACAAAAATTATCAAAATTTAATTCTTTAACCTCCGCGGATACTAAACGAACACTGATGCATCTATATATTCTTGTTTACAAATTCCGTCCAAAGAGAACTGGTTTCAATGTGTACGCAAAGTATACACGACCGCAATTTTAACTTTCCTTTCATTACACTCTTGGTTTTATCCCTCCACATGTACACGCTACACCAAAATATCAATCAGACATCAGCTGGCCCTGGGGGAATGGGGCTGGCTGATAAAAAGTACAAAACACCAAGTTTTAAAATTCAAAATTGGAATGAAAATAATAAGGACAAGATAGGAAATGTAGTAAATATATAGAAGTAAGTAAACTCGTGTGATGTTTACAAATGTAGAAGAAGGGCTAGGCATGTTCAAATTCATTTCCAGTTTCCAGCTGCCTGTTAGCCGTTTGTGGAAAAGCTAAATGTTCCAAGCTTTCTAGGTAGCCGCTTGTTCCCAGCTATTAGAACTGTTTGTTCCCAGGTATTAGAACTGTTTGTTCCCTGCTATTAGAACTGTTTGTTCACAGCTATTAGAACTGTTTGTTCCAGGTATTAGAACCGCTTGTTCCCAGCTATTAGAACTGTTTGTTCCCATCTATTATAACTGTTTGTTCCCAGCTATTATAACTGTTTGTTCCCAGCTATTAGAACTGTTTGTTTCCAGGTATTAGAACTGTTTGTTCCCAGCTATTAGAACTGTTTGTTCCCAGCTATTAGAATTGTTTGTTCCCAGCTATTAGAACCGTTTGTTAACAGCTATTATAACTGTTTGTTAACAGCTATTAGCTATTTGTTAACGGCTATTCTGTTGGTTAACAATCTCTTTTTTAAGGAAAGGTTAAGGTCTGTTAATGGTTTTCTAATTTAAAAATAGGAGAATAAGAACTTTTCATTTGTTCCAATTTAATTTGTAATCAAAGAATAAGACAAAATCAAAATCAAATGGATCAAAGATAGAACAGTAGTTGTATTTTTCCAAAAAATGAGTGCAAAAAAAATAACAGATAACCAAAAAAAGAAAATATTTAAAATATATCTTCATGAACATTATTGTTGACAGATAACAGCAACACGCTAGACAAATCCGGATAATAGGCCGGTTAGGATTCTGACGGGCTGAAAATTTGGTTTGGCTGTCTCCGACAGGAGATTCCAGTATAAGACGACATTTTATAGAGGTTTTGAAATTAATGGTTAACAATTATATTCTCAACATCTGATGATAAATAATTGTCAACCCAAACATATATTTTCATCGGGCAAATTTGGCACAATCGTTAGCATCAAACTGTTCTTGGATCCAAGTACGATAGTAAGGAACATCAGCATAAATACCATATTTTCCTTTCTAAACAGAAAAGTTGTTTTTCGTTAATGTTTGTAAAAAGGAAAAAAGGGAAAAATTAGTTTTTTCCACTTTTAAATGTGAGACTGCCACATATTTCTACATTTACATGTGAGGCTGGCACATGTTTCTTTATCTACATGTGAAGACTGGCACATATTTCTACATTTACATGTGAGACTGGCACATGTTTCTATATTTACACGTAAGACAACCACATGTTTCAATATTTACATGTGAGGCTGACACATATTTCTACATTTACATGTGAGACTGGCACATGTTTTTATATTTACACGTAAGACGATCTCATGTTTCTATATTTACATGTGAGGCTGGCACATGTNCAATAAAAAAATGTGTGTGAGTAGAATTCTCTCCCATAGTAAAAGATAGAGAAAGTAAGAGTATAACTGTGAATTATGCTTGACAGGAAAGCGCCCATGGGAAGGATTAAGGTTCCAATTCTTAATGGAAAATCTACAATTTTACCAACACTGTGCATTTTTCTTTCATTTGGCAAACAAAGTAATCTTCATAAGTTCACTGCAGGGTGTGCAGGTAAAGTTTGAAATTAGATATGAAATGTGGATTTTAAGTAAAGTTATGCCGTATTGTAAAAAAAACCTTTAAACAAGAAACACGTTAAACTAAAGTAAATTGTACGAAAGTTTGAAATCTTACATGTTTTCAAACATCATTTTTTATATCATTTTTAAAAATTAAATTAAGCTAAGAAAAGAAATGGTGCATGCGGAGTTATCTGCAGTACACTTACCAAAACAAACAAAGTTAGTTTTATCGGAAAGTGGGTATATTAAAGTTGACCCATTCATCTTAGAACCTCAAAACCAAGCTAAGAACATTCCCGTGTGTCTCCTGAGATACCCAATCAAAAACAGAATTTACAACTTTATATATAAATGTTTATTCTAATCTGCTAATGGAAATAAATACTTTATTATGTCTGATGGTGAAATGATTTTGATTATAATCTATTCATTTAGACCACCATTAGGGTAAACAAAGGAACTGGCTAACTGCTTCATTAACAGCATAATTAATTTGATAATAAATCTTCTTGAAAAGAATAGGAATTCATAAAAGTGTCTAAGGTTGAATATTCTTAGATCCAAATATATTCCAGAGAACTGAAATCAAGAAAGATGCTGCTATGGCTGGATTTTTGGTAATATAAACTTTGGTCGTATCATTTTGGTAATGACAAATTGTTTATGACGTTTTGGTAATGACAAGTCATTAATGTTATTTTGTAATGACAATTTGGTTATGCCATTTTGGTCATGACAATTTTTTAATGTCATTTTGGTAATGACATGTCGGTAATGACAATTTGGTAATAAAAATTTGGTAATGATAATTTGGTACTGACAATTTGGTGATGTCAATTTGGTAATGACAATTTGGAAATAACAATTTGGTAATGACAATTCGGAAATGACCATTTGGTTATGACAATTTGGTAATGACAATTTGGTAATGACAATTTGGTAATGATAATTTGTTAATGTCAATTTGGTAATGACAATTTTGTAATAACAATTTGTTAAAATCGATTTGGTTATGTCAATTTGGTAATGACAATTTGGTAATGACAATCTGGTAATGAAAATTTGGTAATGACAATTTGGTAATGATAATTTGTTAATGTCAATTTGGTAGTGACAATTTTGTAATAACAATTTGTTTAAATCGATTTGGTTATGTCAATTATGTAATGACATTTTGGTATTACCAATTTGAAAATGCCAATTTGATAATGACAATTTGATAATGATAATTTGATAATCACAATTTGGTTATGACAATCTGAAATGACAATTTGGTACTGACAATTTAGTAATGTCAATTTGGTAATGACAATTTGGAAATGAAAGTTTGGTAATTAAAATTTGATAATGACAATTAAGTAATGTTTAATCCGTTTCCGCTCTTTACAAAAACCATAAAATTCTCAATTTGTTAATCGGTTTCCTCAAATTGTTGGTCCATTTCCTCATATGTTTGATCTGTTTCCGATTTAAAAAAAACCTTAAAATTCTCAATTTATCAATTGGGTTCCTCATATCATATTGTTGGTCCATTTGATATTATTTTTCGGGAGGAAAGTGGACGCCTCTGATTGGCTTTATTTTTTATTTACTCATTTCCTGAAATTGTATCTTGAAGTTTGTCGAATAGCTCCAAATACCAAAATATCAGAAAAAATGAAATAATCAAAAACAAAGATTTTCTTCAGAATTTGCGCAAAATAGCTCAAAGGTCTCATTGGCTTGCTAAGATATAAAGTATAGATTATCAGAGTTTGTGTCAAAAACTCATCTTTTTGCTTCATAAATCAAAATTATCCTTATTATTGTTTAGTTCTTTCCAATTGTAATACCAATGGTAGAATAAGAGCCTGGTAATTCCTCTAATAGGATAATATTACTTCCATTATATTAAAGATCCAGGATTGCTTTGTGAGGAAAATAGTTTTCATGGCTTGACAACATTAAAGAGACCGTATAGACGTAGTTTCAAGTTTTCATCAATTTAAAAAGAGTGTCATATCTGATTTACAATGGTACCCTTTTAATTTGAAAATGGAAATTCTTTACTTTATAGTGCACCAGTTTAAGAAGGTACTACATTTTAAGCTAAAAAAATAATGAAAACCCCGCCGTTTAGACCACACAAATGTTTAAAGGAAACCAATGTGAATTGGGTACAGTACTCATGTTCCAAATTTTGCTGGCTGTTTTGTTAACGGTTTGTTCAAGTCGTGAAAAAAAAAATTTGGGTGCCGTTAATTTTAAAAGTAAGAATGGACATTCGTTTTGTTAATGACATTTTCATTTTTTTTATTACCGTTAGTAAATGATCTCAGTTTTATTAACGGCATTAACAGGGCGGAAAATTTTCAACAACACAACTGTTAACGGACTATTGCAGTATTAACGGCGTTAATGGCGCGAACTCCCGAAAAAAATTTGTTATTGAATTATAACATATTAATGACACAGCCGTTAACAGTCTATTGCAGTATTAACGGTGTTTACGGATTTCTTTTAAGGCTTATGATATTGTTAATGGTAGTTTACAAAGAAGACGGTATTTTAAAAAGCATCAAAACACATACAATATTTTTTATCACTTTTTTAAAGTTTCATGCAATTTTAAGCAGAAGAAAAAAACTAGAATTAACCATTTTTGAAAAAAATCAGTTTTGTTTTCGTTTCAACCATTATTTTTTTCAAAAACGGCTAATCCGTTTTGTTAATGATTTGAAAGGTTTTTGCCGTTCGTAAAAGGACTCTTCCGTTAACTTTCGAAAACCTCCTTTTGGTTAATGGAACTATGCCCAGTCAAATTTGGATACTACTTCAAATAGAGGGTCAATTGAAATTTCCCTTGCAGCGCATTTATTACTTTTTTGGTATCCATGGTGTTATTGCAGAACTGAAAATTCAAATGCAGGAGATTGTCATGAGATCTGTGACAAGGTGAGATCAGAGGCATTACCAAAGAGATGAAGGTGTTAAGGATAGTGGACACAAACACAAATAAGCTAATAAATATTTTTTTACATATTCTTACATAATATATAACTTGTTTTTGGCATTTAAATAAT